TCCGTTTCTGCTCTCCTGTCTAAAGCTTGTAGTATGCAGTTTAATTGTCAAGTCAGAGGCAAAAATTTAAAAATCTCTTCCCCAAATGAAGTGGGACATTCTGGCTGGCTGGCTTTTGTTAGAAACTGAAAGCAGGAAATAAAGATGGAAGATAATACCCAGAATCCCCTGGGCAAGGCCACACATTATTCTGCCTGCAAAAGCCTGCTGAGCCCAAGTCTCCTTGTGAGAACAGCAGCATCCACTTTCAAAGACAGCACGACAGCTTGAGTCTTCAGTGCCTCTAACGGTAGCCATTTGTCTTCTTATGTATTTTCAAAATGCAGTCCACAGTGAGTAACTGAAATAAATTAATTGAGAACAATACTTTCTGGTATAGAACCCAGATTCAAAAAGAGAAGAAACAAAACAAAGAAGCTGAGAAAAACGAAAAGCACAGACACTTACACACACTCATTCTGTCTCAGACGCTGCCTCAAAACAAGACTGCAATTTAAATTAAATTATAATTAATAGCAGCAGTTTTGTCGAAGTGCTTTAATGCTGAAGCTCCAATGGTTTCCATGGAGACATTTTCTCTATGTGATGTCAAATCCAATCTCTTTTTTTCCTTTTATTCTCTGACATATGACAACCTGAAGCTTTTAGTGCCTTTCATTTGGGGGAGTTTTTTGTTAAATAGTCTCGATTTGCTTTTATATGCAGTTAATGTGGTTTTTTCTTCTATTTGTTTCTGAGCCTGAAGTCTACAAGTGTTCATATTTGAAACGTTAAATAAGAACTACAACCACTGAAGTTACCTCTGTCTTATTCTGCATTCTCTCCACTGCTTCCCTGGATGGAGGAGAAACTGGAGAAAAGAATTCAAATATATTTTTTCAATATTCTATTCTTCCAAGTGCATTTCAAAGTCAGTTTCCAGTTTCAATGCTTGTATTGAAACTTCTTTTTATTAATTTTTCATGGTTTAGAAACACAAACACAGAGGAATTTAAAACCACAGTTAACTCCATTCTTAGTTTTGTCATGGCCATGACCGTTTTCTTGATGGCATGTTGATTCTTTAGGGGTGATATCTGCTACCAAGAGGCTGGGGGCAGGGTTCTAATTTGCATTTTCAGTTCAGGTTACTTCTATTGTGTGGAACTTTACTTTGTCAGATAAATAACAGAAAAAAAATAAAACATACACACAGACACTTAATTTTTTTAATGTGTATGAGTGGTTTGCCTGCATGTATGTATGTATGTGTACCACTTGCATGACGTGTCCATGGGGGCAGAAGAGGGCACTGATCTGTGAGCACAATACTAGAAATGACCAGCAGAAAGAGTGTAAGCTGGGGAGGTACACGGAGATGCAGAGACTTCCACGAGAAATGAAATCAGAGCAGGAATGGCTCTTTGCTTGGCGCTTGTCACCACATGGCGATTATTTTGCGGTCTGTCACAAGATACTCAGCGTAAACAACTCAAGGAAGGAAGAGTTCTCTCGCTCACCATTTCAGGGGTGTTATTCCAACACAGTGGGAGGCCTTTGGCACAGAAAAACACCTTACAGTATGATGGCCAGGAAGTAAGAAGAGGCACCAGAAGACCGGGGACAACAGGTCTCCGAGGATCCAAAAGCAATGGACTATTTCCTCCAGCTAGAATCCCACCTCCTAAGTTTCCAGAACTTCCCCAAATAGGACCACCCTCCAACAGATGAGTGTTTTAGGGGAACACTTCATATGTTCTATCATTTGGGGATCCAGGAAAAATGCATTGCGTATACTCCATACTTACAGGAAGTCAGTCTGCCCCTGAGATTCATTAGTACCTCTTTATCTTACCACTCAAAATTTGGATTTACTCACAAAATTTCCCAAGATATAGACTCCCTGGTATTTTAGCACCTCTAAACTTGTTTGGCTCTCCCAAGGAGCTGAAAGGCAAGAGGGCATGGATATCAACAATAGACCAGAGCACATGTCATGAGTGAGCTTGTCATCCACAGCTAGGCTTGTATCTTAGTCACCGTACTTCTCTACACATTCCAAAAGGATGTTGGGGGGAAAGACAATAACAAAGAAATAGATCTACCAAAGTAGTCATTGCTGTAATTTCCAGGATAAAATAGCTTTGCCCCAAGGGAATGGGTACTCACATGCTTTGGAATAACCAGGCTTAAGTTCAAAATAAAGCCCTAAAAACTGGGTTGTTCATGAAAGGAAAAAATAAATAAATAAAAGGAACTGTGCATATGCTTGATTTTGTAAAGGTTTCTAATGGCCTAAAGGTTTCTAGAAACCACTAATTGGTTTCTAACAACAACCAAGGTCTAGTGAGTGTGGCATCTTTAATATGCTTTCTGTATTGAATATATTCTTTTCCATTATTTGTGAGAAAGGAAGAATGAAACTGTTGCCTTGCTTTAAGGCTTCGGTTGACAGTGGGCAGCTGAGTTTTTAAATCTGCACAGAAGAGCTGCTGAAGAGTGTCTTGGTTATGATTTCCGTTGCTGTGATGAAACCATGACCGAAAGCAATTTGGGGAGGAAAAAATTTATTTCCCAGTTCCATACAGCAGTTCATCATCAAAAGCAGCAAGGGTAGGAACACAGGCAGGGCAGGAACCGGGGGGCAGAAGCTGATGCAGAAACCACAGACGGTGCTGCTTACTAGCTTGTCTACCATGGCTTGTTCAATCTTCTTTTAGAACCCAGGACTACCATCCCAGGAATGGCACCACCCTCAAATGGCTAAGCCCTCCCCCATCAATAACTAATTTTAAAAAAGCCTATAGGTGTGTCTACAGCCCGGTGTCATAGAGGCTTTTTCTTGCTCCTCCGCTCTGATGACTTGTTCAGCTTGTGTCAAGTTGACATAACGCTATCTGGTACAAACAGGCTCCACAGAAGGCTGAAGAACCGTGCACAGACTGATTTTAATCATGCTCACCAATGAATATGTATTTATCCCTCCCTCATTACTATTACAGCATAGTTATATATCAAAATGAAATTTTTAACTGAGATTCGTCCCTTCCTTTAAGATGACAACTACCTCGTAAGAAGTGATAGGATGTTGGGAAGAAGGCTCAGAGGATAAAATCCTTCTCTATAAACATGGGGAACAGAGTTTGATAGCTTAACCCACATTTTTTTATTTTATTGATTTTTATTGAGCTCTACATTTTTCTCTGCTCCCCTCCCTGACTCTCCCCTTCCCTTCAACCCTCTCCCAAGGTCCCCATGCTCCCAGTTTACTCAAGAGATCTTGTCTTTTTCTACTTTCTACTTCCCATGTAGATTAGATCCATGTATGTTTCTCTTAAGGTCCTCATTGTTGTCTAGGTTCTCTGAGATTGCGATTTGCAGGCTGGTTTTCTTTGCTTTATGTTTAAAAACCACTTATGATTGAGCATATGTGATAATTGTCTTTCTGGGTCTGGGTTACCTCACTCAAAATGATGTTTTCTAGCTCCATCCATTTGCCTGCAAAATTCAAGGTGTCATTATTTTTTTTCTGCTGTGTAATACTTCATTGTGTAAATGTACCACATTTTCCTTATCCACTCTTCAGTCGAGGGGCATTTATATTGTTTCCAGGTTTTGGCTATGACAAACAATGCTGCTATGAACAAAGTTGAGCACATGTTCTTGTGGCATGATTGAGCATCCTTTGGATATATGCCCAAAAGTGGTATTACTAGGTCTTGAGGAAGGTTGTTTTCTAATTTTCTGAAAAATCACCAAAGTGACATCCAACATGGTTATACCAGCTTGCACTCCCACCAGTAATGCAGGAGTGTTCCCTTCTCCCCACAACCTCTCCAGAATAAGTTGTCATCAGTGTTTTTGATCTTGGCCATTCTTACAGGTGTAAAATGGAATCTCAGAGTTGTTTTGTTTTGCATTTCTCTGATGACTAAGGATGTTGAGCATTTCCTTAAGTGTCTTTCAGCCATTTTAGATTAGTCTGTTGAGAGTTCTCTGTTTAGGTCTGCACTCCATTCTTTTTATTGGATTGTTTGCTCTTTTGATGACCAATTTCTTGAGTTCTTTGTATATTTTGGAAATCAGACCTCTGTCTGATGTGGGGTTTGTGAAGATTGCTAAGCCCACATTAAAAAACACTGGCATGTGATTGTGATTCCAGCATTGGAGGGGCAGAGTCAAATAGATCCCAGCTCACTGGGCAGCCAATCTCAGTTTGGGGTGTGTGAGAAACTCTGTCTCAAAAAGATTTTTTTAAAAAGTGTATGGTGCCTTAAGGATGACATTCATTGTTGTCCTCTGGCTTCTACATACATGTGCACACATGAACACACATGGAGATAAGATAGAAAGAAAGGGAAATAATAAGAATTAAGACTGTAGCTGTTGAAAGGTGACTTGGCCACTTAATTGGAAATTGGTACTTCTTTCAAGAAAGAGATAAAATTTGATGAGAAAAGAGAAGGAAGGTAAACCAGATGTCTAGGCAGGAGTGTTCCCTAATGAACTGACTTGAAGCCTTAAGAATCTATTACATCCAGAATATTCAGTTAGAAGAGTAGCCCATGAAGGAAGAAACAGGAGAGAGGCTCTATGTACATGAAGTCTTTGCAAGACCAAGAAATCCAGGTTCACCTGAATGGCAGTCCTGGAAGGTTCCAAGTGTCCTCTCACTCTTGCCATTCTCCCGAGTCATTGCATGTCTCTTCTCCAGCCCAAACTTCCAACACCATTTACAGCTGTGACATGAAAGGAACTAGAGAGGGGTTGGGATGTTGGCCAGTGGTAGAGCACTCGCCAGCCTTGCACAAGGACCTGGGTTCCCCTCAGCATTGGAGGGGAAGAAAAATAAATAAGAAGAAGCTGAGAGTTTGGGCAGTTTTGAGGCCAAGGACACGATGTCACAAGCTAGGCTTTGAAGCCGAGAGAAATTTTGCCATGGTTCATCTGCCACATTATAAATTATACCATGCTACAAATTGCTGAAGTGTATCATGTTTTATTAGAGTCATGCAGGCAGAAAGCAACCACCCTATAATGTCATGAATGTTGTCACAGTAGGCTGATAACAAAACTACTTGCTATACTTGTCACATAAAAATAAAATAAAAATTTTAAATCAAGTCTAAGAGAAAAAGAACTAAAGTATATGCCAGGGCAGTGTGAAATCTCACATTTTACACTTGATCTTAGCCAAAAGGCCGAGAAGCGATGAAATCTCACATTTTATACACACATTTCTGAGCAGATATTTAATGTATGTGGAAAGTTCATATTGTTTAAAGAAAGCCAGAATTTTTTGTGTTAATCAGAAGACAAGAAATTTGACCTACTCAAGTCTCCAAAGGTCTAGAAGAAAGGTGAAAGTGAGAGTCCTATAGGTACAGCAAACTTAGTAATTCCAACACAAAGTTTTTCTTCCATCTCCTAAAAGGGCTCTTCTTGTCATAGTTCTAACCCATACTCCACCATCTAAAATAAACTGGGTCTTTTAAACAACTCACCTGCCTGGATATTCCTAGTTTTCAAAGGGCTCAGACGCGAGAAGATTGCTTCTTTTGGAATTAGCTTGGGTTCTAATTTCAGTCAGGCTAGAGATAGACCAAGTAGCATATGGAGAAGGGTAATTAACAACATCCAAAGGCCTGAAGATGTAAAAGATGGACAATAATAGTCTAAACTTCATCCTTGAAAAGTGGCCATGTCAAGGGATAAAGCAAATCTTACCGTGCCTTATGGCCATATGAGTTGCATGACACACATGACACACAATGGGAAAACTACAGGTAAACTCAAACAAGTCACCAGACCTGAAGAAGACCGTAGTTCAAACCACATCCACACTTTTCATTAGCATTTTCACTATATAAGCAAAGTCTTCCATTGGGGCATGTAATTAGGCCACCAGGGACAGGAAATTCTCATCACTACACAGCTTGTGTGCTTTGTTGTTCTGTGCGTACTCAGAATGAAGTCTGACACAGTGAAGATCTTCTACCAGGAGCTAGAAGGGAGTGAGTGTGTCACTTCTGCTGAGTGATCATTCTCTGAAAAAGAAGACCCAGATTGGAAGAAATCCAATGGATATTTTTCTATTGTTTTTATGTAAACAGGTTTTAGTCAAATAAGACAATTTTGTGGTCAAATTAATATCTAATGAGTATTAGGTATTTTTGTTGCTGTGATAAAATGACATGACTTATGGAAGAATGCCATGTCCTTGCAAGGTATAGTTCTGGAAATTTGGGAAATGGAAAAAGAACAGACACACAAATGCACATACAGAAAAGCTGGAGTCAGGTGGGTCCTGCTTACTTGTGGAGTGGCACCAACTATACCGCAACCCAGAACCTCAGCATGTTTATTGCATACAGCCTAGGAAGAGAAATTAGCCCAAGTAGAAGGTGTCAGCAGGCTAGAGTCTCAGGCTGGAAACATCCAGGAGGAGAAAGCCGTGGTTACCAGATTTTGTACACATTGTCAACATCTCTAAGGAACCAGGGAAAGGCTTTGCCACTCTACCATCTCTCTGAGACTGACCCAGGAGGAAGACTTTGCCAGTTTTCCTCAGGCCTGAGGCATTGGTCCTTGACATGGTCATGCCCACATCAACAACACACGCTCACTGGAGGATTCCTCTGTTCCCCACAGAAGAAAGTTTATTTTGCCTTACAGTTCCAAAAGGAGAGTCCAAACTAGCAGGCTGACAGAACAGGAAGCTGAGAAACCACATTTCAACTGCACATAGAAAGTGGAGAGAGTGAAGTGCAGGTACAACGAGGCTCTAAAGCCCACACCCATGCTGGACTTCTTCTGGCAAGGCCTCAAGTTCTAAGAGTTATGTAACCTCCTCCAAACAGCGCCACTGACTGGGGACCAGGGGATCAAATGCCTGAGCCCAGAAAACACATTTTCCGTTCAAACCACTAGAGTGATGAACCCATAAATGACTGACCTTTGTCTTCTTGGGATGACATTTGAAATCTTAAATCAACCAATGTTCTCTAGGCCAGAAAAGCTTCAAGAGGTGGGAGGGAGAATCATTAGGAGAAGAAGCAAACTGTGTTGTCTTCCCCTGTTTCCCAAGATGTCCAGACTTAGGATTGAGCCAGGTAGTGCAAGCAAATTACATATCAAAGGCACCATTTATGCTCACAGTTAAAGATTTGGAGAGAGTGTGGATAACCTGCAGATATCTGCTTATCAGAGTTCATGGCCATCAGCAGTCAGCAGGTTTGAATGACGCTGATGGTTAAAAAGATTAATAATGTAAATCCAAGAGAGAATGATTTCTCTAGTCCTGGGTGAACCTGTCAAATCTGAGGCCAGTGATGTGGTCTAAGTAAAGCCACTTGTTGCCAAGACTGATCACCTCAGTTCAATCATTGGTACCCGCATGTTAGAAGGAGGGAACCAACTCCTACAGGTTAGTCTCTAACCTCCACCAGTGCCATCTTGGAACATTCATGCCCACATATATACACACATATGCAAAATAAATGAAAATGATATTTTTAGAAATTTTAAATGAAGTCTAAGAGAGAAAAAACTAAATCACACACTGATTAAAAATGTGAGATTCCCATATTTCCAAGGAGATGGGAAGGGCAGGGATCTGGCAGTTTTTGTCATGACCCTGGAGATTCTCCCCTATCTATACCCAGTGATGAATTAGCCTTAGGAACTGAGTTCCTGGCATGTTTTACCTGAATCACAACACCAGCCTCTGTTTAATTATAGCAAGTAAAGACCCTGGAAATATCTCTCTCAGTGACTTAGTGCCATCCAGCAGGCTTTGGTCTACTTCAAACTTGGGTTCTATGCTCCATCTGCTGGAATAAAAGTTACTTCCATCGAGAGATTTGCTTGAACTTTTCAAAGGAAATTTCTACCACTGCAAATCTGTTTTGGGATTGGGAGGGTCTGGGAATGTAGCTCAGTGGAAAAACTTTGCTTGGCAGGTGCAAGGCCATAGGTTTGATCCAGCAGCCCTTCCCCCACCAAGAAAAACCCACCCGTGAAGGTGAATTGGCTTTTTTTGGATTACTTACTGTAGATGCTCCACTGACTTAAGGTTTCAGAATCTATTTGCCTTTGGAGCGATAAGAGGGATCCATCTGAGTGGAACATCTAAATTTGACACAACTGCTTCTAATATTTTTTGAACTGGGAAAGAAATAGAAAATTAAGCTATTAGCATTCTTCTCAACGTTTCTGAACTTTAAGGCCTTTGCATATTGCTGAAGGTTCTAGTGTTTTATTAAAGTCATGCTAAATATTAAAGAAGCCGTTACTTTTAAACTAATAGTATGTGCCATAAAATTTTCGTCGGCACATGAACCCTAAACTGGCAGTAGGGTGTGGAATAAAAGTGGATGGGAGACAGATTTCAGAACATGAGAAAACAAATGCCACCCTGCGTCTGCGTCATAGGTCCTGCAGGTAAGGATTCAAAGAACTGCCGAAGTCTCTCCTTAAATGGTCTGTACTAAATGCAGAGAGACTTGTCTCTCTGTCATTACTCTCTAAGGTTATCCAGAGTCAATTTACAATATTCTTTAAAGTCCGTGGGATATGATTAGCAATGTAGAGACTGTTTAAATCATACAAGAGGATCATGGAAGTCATATGCTTCCGAGTTACATACAGGAGTTGAATGTCCATGAACCCAGTGTCCTGAAACCAACTGCTAGATGATACCCCAGGATGACTATTCTAAAAGCGGACTTGCCAGCAGAGCAGTGACAGGCTGGCTAGGAACATTCTTAGCTAACATTCCCCTACCATTCCCCTCAAATAAGTCATAACACTGGAACTTATAGTGAAGTCAGGGATGGGGGTTTCTGGAATTTTTGTAGGAGGCAATGGTAAGGTTGGATCCATCTGAGGTGGAGATTTCATTTTACAAATGGAAAGTGTCAGAGAGTTGTATGAAGAAATAAATATAAAATTATTTGTGTGCTTACCTCTTAAACTTCACCCTTTCTTTCTTTCTTTCTTTCTTTCTTTCTTTCTTTCTTTCTTTCTTTCTTTCTTTCTCTGCAGCCAGTGCTGATTTCCCATACAACCCAGGACAAGGCCAAGCTATAAGAAACGGAGTCAACAGGAACTCAGCTATCATCGGAGGTATGTGATACATACAACAGATTTTCTAGCAGCTATTCACCAGGGAAAAGCAATATTTTTTTTTTTAAAAAAATGGGGCTGGAGAGATGGCTAAGCAGTTAAGACAAAAGACTGCTTTTCCAGACAGACCCGAGTTCAGTACCCAGAACCCACAGAAGGCTGCTCACAACTACCTGTAACTCCAGCTCCAGGAATCATCCATAGGCACCCACACTCATGTGCACATATACCCAAATATATACAACACATATACATAAACAAAGTACATTAAAAATGTTCAAAAGGGTAGTTAAGTGACATCATCCCAAGTTTAAGTATAATCTCATCAAGGGACCTATCCTTATTGATTTTGACTTTTTGGGTTTTTGTTATTGTCGTTTTAAGATAAAGTATCATATGAACTTATACAAGAAACAGGTCAGTGACTTTTTAACATACACCCATATCCACCACCGCAACGTATAGAACTCATCAACGTAAAATAATTCCTCTTGGCTAATTTTGCTATCCCTTTTTTTAAGTCCCCACCTATTCCTTTCACTCCTCCACAGTTTCATAACTGGTATAAAATTTGCCGCACTTTCATTCATTCAGCATAATATTTTTATATCTGTCCACAGTATTTTGCTCATCAACAAATTTATCTCTCTTGCCAAATTGTATTTCATTGAATGGCTATGCCATCATTTGTTTTATCCACGTATCCATTGCTAGATTGTTGTCTCCAGATTTGGGTTATTAAAAGTAAAGCTACACACATCTTAATAATCTGGTATACACCTTAGGTAGACTCCTCAATAATTCCTAGACATGCAATCACTAAGACAGTAAAGAAAGCAGATATTTAACTTTGTAAGTCGTTGCCATGCAGCTTTCCAAAACGACCCAACCACCTACAGTCCCATGATCAATCTCTAAAAGGCCGCTTGTTCCCCAATCTCTTGGTGCTGACAGCCTTCTTACTTAGCCACTCCGCTAGGTGAGTTGTGGCATCTCTGTGACGAGGGATAATCTCATCACTAGTGATGCTCGGTGTCTTTTCAGTGTTTACTGTCTTATGTGATTATTTTGTGAAGTACCTCGAAATCTTTCTCCAGCTCCTTAATCGATTGTTTGGTTTCTTGCTATTGATTTGAAAGAGTTTATATTCTGGGTACAAGTCCTTTGTCAGACACAGATAAATATTTTTCCCCAATCTACAGCTTGTTAGCAGACCTGACTCCATGTTGTCCAGGTCTTGTAAATTCTTATTGATTTTGCCTCCATAGTCAGTCTTGGTTGTTAGGGATTGGTTTGCACAGGTCCCTCTGTGCTCACTCTGTTATCTCTGCCATTTCTAGTCTAATTGATTTTCTCATAGGAGAAAAATTGTTCTTTGCATATCTGGTCATTTTTATATTGGCTGCTAGACATTATTAGCACGACTGAGTTTGGGGGTTGAATGGTCTTTTGATATTGCATGCCGAGACCTCTCGCAGCACTTATAGCTTGATATCTTTTAGTTATGTTAAGCTTTTTGCAGGTCAAATCCTACCAGACCTTTCACTCCCTCAAAAGCATGCCTTTAGCACGACCTTTCCCAGTCTGAACTGAATGCCTGCAGTTATTTCCCGTTAGAGCCTGATCATCTTGCAGCCCTGTGTGAGCTCTGGAAATTGTTTCCTGTGCCTCCCTGCCCTGTGGAGGGTCAAGTGCGTATGCACACATGCACGTGTTCGTATTCAGCTGGAGGTTCAGCAGCTTCACGGATTAGCAGATCCATCTGTGTGGAGCACGTGCACTGGTCTTGAAGCCCCGCCCCCAGTTCAAGAAGCCCACGGGGTTCTCCTGGTTCTCTCTGCAGAGCGGTGTGGACAGTCAGAAAACTGGACAAAGTGTGGAAACTCGTCATTTCCTACTCTTTCCTCAGGCACCGTGTGTCTGTCTATCTGTTGTCCACTGTCTGAAGGCCTATGCTTCATATATTTTAGCTAGTTTTTAGTTACTTTGGGCAAGAGGACAAGTCACCTTCTGGTTCCTGTTAAACCTTTTGTGTCTGGAAACAGAAGCCACATGTCTCTTCTGCTGTCTTCATGACTGTCACTGTTTTCTGTGGAGAAGAGTCATATCCAAGGGAGCTGGGATGCAGCGGTGAGATAGAAATGTAGACAAGGCTCGTTTAACTTCCGGTATTTATCTACTGTCTCCAGGGGTCATCGCTGTGGTGATTTTCACCATCCTCTGCACCCTGGTCTTCCTCATCCGGTACATGTTCCGTCACAAGGGCACCTACCACACCAACGAGGCCAAGGGAGCTGAGTCAGCCGAGAGCGCAGATGCTGCCATCATGAACAACGACCCCAACTTCACAGAGACCATTGATGAGAGCAAAAAAGAGTGGCTCATTTGAGGGGTGGCTTTTTAGCCATGGGATAGGGAGGGAGGCTAAGGGAGGAGGGAGAGGGACAAGAGCACCCTGTGTCACACCCCTGAGCACACGCTTACAGTATCAGCACAAGCTGGGGAAGGCAAGCAACCCAATATTCTTAAGACTGATGGCCACACAAAAATATACTTTTTAATATTTCTTTATAGCTGAGTTCCCCCTTCTGTATTAAAAGAAAATAATACAAAAATGCTTTTAGAGTTTAAGCAACAGTTGGAATTTGTAGGTAATATCTGTCTTATTTTGTGTGTGTTTAGAGGTCTTCTAAGATCCCGTGGTAACAGGGCAAGTTTTCTACATTTTTAAGAGCCCTTAGAATGTGGGTATTTTTTCCTCAAGAAAAACTGATACGCATCCATACAGCTTATGACATTCTTTTCCTTTTGCACCTAGTGGACATTTAATGGGCTATTGTAGCAATTAGTTTGTGTCCAGATAATATTTCTTTTGGTGTCCCATAAAACAGAAATGAGAAAGAAAAAATGAGCCAAGAGCCTATTTGCCAGTCTTCAAGGACACCTGGATCTAGGCCAGTTTTCTGATGGTCCCTGTCTGTCATTAGCTAGTGAAGGAAGAGGAAGCAGCTCCTGTCCTGCAACAATGTAACCAACACAAGCATCCAAGAATCTGGCAAAGAAAGGCATACTGGGTTTATTGCTTCTGATTTCCATTGACTTCTACATAATGATGTCCCATGGATGTAGTCTTAGGCCTTTTTAATGTCTGTAACTATCAGCTATAAAACCATGGTGAGCAACTGTTACAGGACTTCTCTGTTTTAACTTTAACTTATCGGACTGTATGTGTATACACGCCTCAATGGGGAATTAGAGCCAGAGGGAATGTCTTCTTTGCTGTTTCTTTTATATTTATAAGGAAAATATGGACACTTTCTAGTGAATGCATAAATTAGTGTGCTTTTTTTTTAATTTCTCTCTAAACTTCAAGTTTTTACACCGCTGTGATAAAATCCTAGCAGATAGCACCCTCTTGATTGCACAATACAATAAAGGCAAGTTACAACAGCTGTTACTCTGGAATCATGTGGGAAACACTGCCATACCTCAAACCAACTCAACCGCAGAAACACTGTCATGAGACAGAGATCTGTGACAGACACATCAGAGTGTGCAGTTGCCACAAACCTGATCATCAATCACCACTTCTCTTTAAAAGACTCCAATTGTCTAGTAGATTACATATCTTAGGGCTATCAGGAGTTTTGAGCCATTTGCTCCAAAAATAACACTAGATTTTATGTTTTAAAAAAAAAGTAGACTTTGTGTAAGAAATTGGGAGCGATTCTTCTTATTAGAGCACACAAAAAAGAATTTAATTAAATAATTTTTTAATTATACAAAAGTTTCTTGAATGGCTACCATTTATAATTGTAATATGTAGGCCCTCTTATACTTTAAAACCTCTTTTTAAAAATTTTGTAGGCTCCAACATTTGAGGAATTAAGCGTGATGATTCTTCATTTCTGCTCTTAGAAGGGCAGAGAACTTAAAGTGGTATAGATGCCGCTTCTCTGATGGTCTGTCTCAGTGAAATGCGTGTTCCAGTAGTTGGGATATTATGCACACACTTTCAAGGTTCTCTGAAAACTCAAATTATTGGAGGATCTAAATTTCTTAAGTAATGGTAAACCTTATCCCAAGCTGCTTATTGCTCCAGCTTACAATGCACTCCAAAAGGAGGTAAGGGGTGGGCCCATTCCCCTTCAGTCACAGAAACAGAATATAAAGGAATCCTGAGACCTCTTTCAATTGCAGGCAGACCTCAAACAGGCCCATGGACACCCTTAATTGTCAAGTCTTGCAAATTCTTTCATAAAGCATTAAATGGTTTTATTTAATAGGACAAAATGCCAGAACAATGTTAACAATTACATTTGAGAGCCAAGCGCATTTTATTTCACCAAGATACCTGACCGTGAAGCATTCTTTTTCATATTTTCACATTGAAAAGGCAAATGTTTACCATTATGACTTGAAGTGTTTCTGTTTTTTTTTTTTTTTTTTTAGATCTTATTTTACAGGTATTACTTTTGTACTTACCAAATAATGCCAGGTGGGAAGTTATTCTTCCTGGCACTCCCCAAGATAGCTGTGTTCATTTTGTATTAGCTCAGCACTTTCCTTCCCCAAATGATTAGCATCGGGACAGTCCCCAGTATTAGAGTGTCCTCATCTGGCCCTTCTCTTCACTGTTTCCTTCCCTTGTTCCCGCCACAGAAAGCAAACACTAGGGTCCAACCCGTCTCACATATCAGCACAGCTGGGGTTCTGAACAACATTGTCCTCAGTTAAGACACAAGGAGAGAGCCTACACAGTCTCTCTTAAGGCAGTTACAATACACCTGGCAGACAGGAACCAGAGGTGGGTGAAGCCGTAAGTAACTAAATTAGTTGCTAAGTGAGTCCTGAAGTCTTGACCTTTTCTTGGAATTATGCCCTTAACCCAAATCCCCACATCTATGCATGGCAGACATAGCCAGTGTGTTCTGAATGGTAAATAATTGCTCGTCTGAAGAAAAAGAAGTAATTCTCTCTTCCATTTCCCTCCCTTGACAGTTTGGCATGAGACTGCTTCAAGTCATGATATAACCCGAATTTGCCTAACCCTAGACTGTCTTTCATCCCCACTACCAACCATCTGGACATTTTATAGCCAATATATCATCAACCAAGCGCAGACCAGTGGAAGCTCCTTTAAGCAATAAGACTATATAAACCAAACAAAACCCAAACACTGTGCCAAAGAACTAAGACACACTGGTACAAGCCTGAAATCCCAACATTGGAGAGATCAAGGTAGGAGGATAATGGGTTCAGGGTCAGCCTGGGCTGTATAGCAAGTTCTGGCTAGCCTGAACTGCCTAGTGAAATAAAAAATAAAGTTCTAAATAAATGAAGCTTCAGAGAACATTGGTGACTGGAGGGTTGTGCGTGCATGAACTTCCTCTGCATCTAAACCAAATATCTGTGTTTTTCAAGAAGCTAAGAAAGACGCTGAATGAATGCAAAATCAGTGGCATTCTCTACTCCCAAAATAGCATATTCTCTGGGGCACAGAGACACTAATTCAGGACGTCAAAAATTTTCATGGTTGAATTTTCCCTGGGCCTTCTTAATATGTAAGAATGCATTTCCTCATTCTTATCTACCAACAGTTTAAAAATAGGAAGGCTTTTGTGAATTGTTTTAATTGAAGATCTGGGAACAAGAGTTTAGAGGACTTTTGTTAGAAATTTCCCTACTGATGAGCATCAGAAGAGAAAGAGCAGGAATTCAAAGGTAGCAGCAGCAGCAGCAGCAACAGTCCCACCATGACCAGTGAGTAGATCCTAACTCTGTTGTTGCACATAGCAGGAGAGCACCGGGTACTCCTGTAAGCCTGGCCAGACAACAGAAAGTACTGCTGAGTACTTCTGGGAGAAGCCAACAGGCACTGGCTCCAACCACACCAGAGTTCAGGGAGTGAGAAGATACACTAACTTCTTCAATCCCAGCCAATGGGTCTGGCTCCCACCACACCAGGGTTCAGGGAGTGAGGAGATACACTAACTTCCACAAGACCACCTGTTCTCTGTCTTCTGCTCTACTTGTTACTGTTTTTCTCCTCTCCTTGCTGTGCCCTTTCTTCAGAAGAGAATCTCCTTTTACATCTCATACTTCTAAACAATGCCTGATTTGAACTCTTTTTCCCCCTTTTGCTATGCTGTCAAGCACCTTTAAAAAAAAAAAAAAAGTTTAGCTAGCAGTTTTGTATGGCAAGTGCTTTACCTGCAGAGTCATCTTGACCGTCTGAGAGTCTTTTTGCTTGTTCATTTGATACAGCGCCTCATGTTGCCCACCCAGGCTTTGAACGCATTATGTAGCAGGGGCTGGCTTTAAATTTCTGATGTCTTGCCTATAAATTCTGGATAAATTCTGTTGCCATGCCTGGACACGTGTTGAGATCTACCAGCTGACTCTCAGGGGTCCCACTCACTAAAACATCATCTTAAAAAGATGCCCTTGCTTTTAGCCAAGAGTTAGTGAGATGCATGATTGCTGTTCCTCAACTCAGGGTTGAGTGGCTCACCAGGAAGAACACTTCAGAAACTATTATTGGTTGGATAAGTCAAACTCAGCTTAGTAAATGTTGCCATACAAAACTGGCAATCTAAGCCAATCCATGGATCCTACAGTGGAAGGAAAGAACTGACTTCATACAAGCTGTCCTCTGACCCCTACACCTACACACACTCACATACATGAGCATGCACATGTGTGTGTGTGCGCACACACACACACACACACACACACATATGCACAATGAATAAAATTTAGCAAGAATTCCCACCCTTTCTCCTTCCTAGACTTGCTAGGTGATCCTGGCCATACCCTTGAACTTCTATCCATCCTTCTCCAGTGTTTGACATCCACGTCGAAAGACAATTGTGAACATGATGAATTCTCCACTGTGCAACACTTTGATGCCCAAATATAAATTCCAAGGTCAAAGGAGCCTCATAAAAAACTGATTTGGCTTGTGGGTATAAGTTTCATTTAAAAAGTACTGTAGAAACCATATAGCCATGCACACGCACGGAGACTTAAGGGACACTGCTGAATCATTGCTGAACTGTGACTCAGAAAGACCGCAGGCAGCTAGGCTGTCAACGGAGGGAAGTGGAACCCAGCGGAAACCTAGAGAAACTGGAAATTTTAGTGTAAATCCCTGAATCCCCACCTGGCCGTGACCTGTGGCTCACAGTATACAGTCTCAGACAGCCAGTAAATGTAGCTGGACTGGCTTACAAATCAACCGCACACAAAAACGTTGTGCTATAGAGGCCCTGCACCTCAACCCTACGGTCCCACTCGCGGCGATGTCGGAAACTTTAAAGAGCATTTCTCTCACCACAGTATTATTTTCCTCTCATCTGTAAAATCACTGTCAGTTAAACAGAGAAATTATGTTTAAAAGTTGAGTAAAGACTGGAAGAAGGTAATAAAGACTGGGCCCCCGAGTGTTCGCACGCAGCGTCCATTTGCACGTCTCTGGTCCAGATGGAAATGCGCTGTAAGAACACGCCTGCTAAGACACTTTGTCCTGTTTGCCAGGCTCAGCTGACTTACAGTCCACGGGGGCTGGCTTCTGAGAAGGCTGTGACGGTGTGGCGGTTCCTCCCGAGTAGGCCAAGAAACTGTTCTCGATGCTGCCAATTCTCAGCTTTGCTTTGTCGGGTTCTTTTCACCTTTGAAGCGGAGACGGTGGGGGATTGGTGCCGTGGAAAGCCAGCCTAAGGCAGTCTCCCCGTGAGCCAGTTAGGACTTCATCCCTGGGGAACGCCACCAAATTTCACTCTCTAAAAGCAAGAAGAGCATGTAAACTAGAATGAAGGAAATGATGTATGTATGCCTATTATTCTTTTGTGAATGTCTTTCATTTACCTAAAGTTATATTAGAAACAGATTGATAAATAAAAGATTCGAAATAGTTTTAATTATCCTAAAAGCAATTCTTTTTGTTTTATGCCAATTGGGTTATTTTAGGGTTAATTTCCAGCCTTCTGCTCATGTGCAGAAGTAGATGTCTACTGAGAAAATGTCTGCCCCGAAAGTTGCAGAGAAGTAGACAGTCCTCAAAGACAGGTCTTGTTTGGATCCATGGTTAACCTCCACTTGCTGGTATACCTTCCCTTACCATTTTGCCTAAAGTAGCTTAATGGATATTACCTTCATAGTTGGGGTCAATTTATAAGCATCTTGATAAATTGTGCTTAGAGTCAATTTGTCTCTAAAATATATTCTGACCTGTATCTGGAAAGTGGGCAATACTAGACGGTGGCCAGATGGATCCAGGCCAATAAACTGGCTCAGAGGCCTTGGGCCACATCTACAGCTGCTAATCTGGCAAGCACATCCCATGTGCATTAAAAGCTAAACCGTCCCCATTTGCTAGTCTTCTGTTGCCATGGGAAAGCCATTTCCGCTTATTCAGTTACCAGTGTGGATCTATGTGTGCACAAAGGATATGTGAATTCCAGCCTAAAGCCAGCTTCCCTGCTCTACGCTGATCCCCAAGGCCAACCAACAACAAAAGCCCTTCGAGTGCTTGGAAATCATCTCGATAAGTGGAGATTTGTAGCGACTCCATTTGCTAAACATGACCAACAGGGACAAGTGCAGAGGGGCCGTCGTACAGTCTCCAGAG